AAGTATTGCAGGACAGTGTGTATAATTATTTAAAATTATATTTCACCAATTAAAAACGAGCTAAGCTTCGAAACTATTCTAAAAGATTGTTCTATGAAAAACTCGTGCTAAGCTGCATCAATTGCCATTAAAGTTATTTTTTATACAATAGTTGTCGCTGTTATCAAATACGTATTTCATTCATGTATTTGCTAAAATACTGTATTTATCTATTACAGTAATAATTTTCACAAAGTACGTATGATATGTCATTACCTGTTACCTGTTACCTGTTACTAATAAATTTGTTACTTTTACGTGCCACTTTACATTATCATTATACCAATAATTTTCCAATTTTATTAAAAGTTAAACGCAATTCTTTACAAGTTTTTATTATTCATTCACAATGCCAAAACATCTATCGCTCATCAATTCTTGTATACATTTTTCATTCCCAAACATCAACACCTTTTTCATTCTCTCAGTATCTTTTAACTCTTCCCACCTACTATGAATATACATTAATGCTTGATCTTTTAACCAATAATTATCCGTTGCCCAACCAAGTAACAATACATCATCCCAATTATCTTTATTTACCATTTCTAATACACGTGATATAATGACTTTCGCCAATTCATCTATTTCTCTCATATCAGCTTCTGCATAAACATTTACTAATGTATCAAATGTTAAACCATCTTCAAGAATTCCTGTATATAAAAAGTAAACTATAATTTTAAAAATCTTATATTCAACATCTTTAACATGAATAGCTAAAGATTTTGATTCAATCCATTCCCCATTAAACATAGTTTTAAAATAAATTGATCTTGAAGCTAAAACAAGTCTTGATGCATAAAGTTGTGATCCACAATCGAATTTAAATATAACATCACTAAATCTTTCATTATCAAAATATTCATCTAATTTTGGTCCATATTTTAAAGAAATATCAATTTTAAGTATTTCTAAATCATAATTAATTGCAACATAATTTTCATCAAAATAATGTACTTGAATTATTAAATCAACTTTTTCCATTCTTATTAAATTAAATTTTGAATCAAGGTTATTAGGAAATATAGTTTCAAATTCACAAAATTTTACACTTCCCCATGTTGGTTCTTTATCATTACTAAATATAAATTGTTTTTCTAATACGTTTCTATAACAGTTTAACCTTGATAATCCTGTTGTTACAGTGGAATTTGTTGAATTTCTTGAATTTTTAGGTTTTTCAATTTCATTATTCATTCTAAGTATTTCAAATCTCCATCTTGAAGTTCTTGTTTTTATATTATTTTCTTTCTCAAATTGACTTTGTATTGCTGAAAGATAGAGTGAAATATGGGTCTTTACTCTTTTAGATCGATGTCCGTGAGGATAGAGTAACAATCGCCATTTATGCTCAATTTTATTAGTAGAGATTGTAAATGTTGTATTTTCGATAGTTTCTATTAAATTTTCGTTTGTACCAACTTGTTCATTCGTTGAAGGAGAAGTAAAAGGATCACTATAATAATATTCGAGACATTTTTGATTATAAAGATCCTGAAAATTTTTAACAATCCAAGTATAAGTAAAAGGTCCACTTGTATTAACTAATGGTCGGTCAGTTTCTCGTTGATTATGTGAAGAACCAATACGATTGCCTTTATTACTAATACTTGTTTTTCTTATAAGTTTTTTTAATCTATCCATTGTTTAAATGATTTTTTTTGTTTTATGACTATCTACCGTTTTTTATTTTTTTTTCACTATATATACTAGTACTGTACCTAGTGTAGTAGTGGTAACATATATACTGGTTATTCTGTAAACAGAATATTAACATTAAAACAGTCCTAGCAATAGCACGAGGATTTACTAAATTAGCAGAGATCTTCTGACTAATGAAAAATAATTATTAATAATGGATTCGATCACAAAAAAAGTCGAGCTAAAATTATCTGTATAATAAAAAGAACACTTATGGAATATAATCGAGATAAATATTGATGTTTCATAAATGAAAATCAAAAATAAATAAATAAATTGAATATCAATATTACAGTATTATCTATACTTTTTTTTTCTTTCTTAATAATTAAAATAACGAATTAGATATTTGGTAACACTAACTTTTTTGTTTATTTGTAACCTGAATTTAAGATACTTTACTGATACAAATTTAAAAAATTTTGTAGATATGTATCATAAAAAAGTATCCTAAATATAGGTACAAATAAAGGTATATACAGATACGTATAACCGGGTAAAGCCAAATGCGCGTAACTATAACTAAAAAATTTTTTTTTGGATATTATAATGAAGTTACTGTATATAATTAAGCCAAAAAAATTTTTTTTTATTTATAACGATAAGTAAAAGCATATATATCTATTTATATTCGAAACTATATATTTAAAAAAAAAAAAAGAATAATTGCTATAATAAAAATTTTAAATTTAAAACCTTTCCGATTTATAATTCAGCATAGTAAAAGTGCCATTGAAAAAAATCTACTTATTTTCGAAATGCTCCACTTATTTACTAATTTTGAAATTCCTGACTTTTATTAATAATGCAACTCTAAAATAAATAATATATACACAGGAAAAACCTGTAGGTAAATATTTAACTTTTACCTGGGAAATTTTTAATATTTACTTGTAATACTGTATTTACTTATTAAAATCACATATACAACGGTTTTCTGTTCAATTTTTTTATCATGTATCACTTATAAATGACAACACATGTAATTTAATACGTAATACATATTACAATTTTCCCGGTTAATTTTGCCCAAGTTTACTAAAATGCACTTATGGTGCTGAACACCATCAAAAACGTACTGTAAATTCTCGAAATAACAGGCATCTGCGCGCTATTTTGACTACGTGCGCGTTATTTCAGATAAAGTATTAATTTGGTTACTAATGTTATAAACAGGTCGAATGAATAATTATCAGGTAAATATCAGATACAAGACTTCTGATATGTTACCGATAAGCTATATTTACGTAGCGGTAAATCAGGTGTATATCGGGAGTTTTGTATTCCGATATTTACCTGATACTTGCTCTTCGAGGTGCACTATTTCAGAATGCGCATGGGCGTTATTTCGATGCTATTTTTAGGGGGCGATTTTCGAAATAACGCCCTGCCCGCTATTTCGAGAATTTACGATACTAAGTAATTAGGGTCAGGGGTTCTAAGTAAAAATGGTAAGCTCCTGAAAACCTTAGGCGTGACAAAATTTGGAATTTTGTTGTTATATAAACCCTATTTCATATAAAAATGCATCCTAACCCTAAATTATGGTGCTAAACACCATAGGTGCATTTTATAATAATTGTCGCAGCTGATGCTGAAAACGGCTGATGTTGAAATTTTGATTATTTTATTATTAAATTTTTACAATTTTTTGGAGTGCATTTTTTTAGTCTTCATATAACAGTTTGAGTAGAGTTTAGGGTTAGGGTTTATTAATTAAAGTGTATAGATGGGTTTTAGTAGGTTTTATAGTTCTAAATAGAGACCCCAAATTTTCAGCATCATCAGCTGCGACAATAATTGAATTCGCCATAGCAGCATAGTGTTAAATATATATTTACAGGTTTTCGCTGTGCAGCACTCATATAATTCAAATAAAATAATTGTCTATTCAGCATTCAAAAACCTACTTATACACTTATTAACAAATATAATTCTAAATCCTAACGAAACTCTGAAATAAGCTAAAAAAAAAAAAACCTAAAATCTATATAATTTGGTTGCAAGATCACGTGTAGTAAAAAAATTACCACCAAAACATCAACACGTGTTCTAATACTAACTATACTGGTATTGGTAAATTTTATCCTTTACACCAGTGCATAAAATTTCCGGGTTATGTAACCTGTTTTTTGTAGGAAAAATTGTTTTTTAATCGAAGGTCTCATATGACTTACATTTAGAGTGTTCAGAATTATGCGATGCGATGAATGCGAAATGGATCTCTTTTAGTATAGGTGACTCTACTCTACTCTAAAATCAATTGCCTAATACTGTATATAATATTTTATTAATGGGGTCACCTATGTTAAAGAGATTGATGTTTTCGCGTAACCTTAATTTACATAACTTCATATTCCAATATTTATCTGGTATGATATACGAATCATGGACATCGACAGTATAATTGCAACGCACGAGGCCTTTGGCCACGTGCTTTGCTATTATCCTGCCGATACGTCAAATAATGCCAGATACAAGAAAATATCATCATATGATAGTGTCATATTATAATAAATATATAATAATATGACAAAAATGTATAGATAATAACATATGGGTTGCCGTCAAAAGAAATAAAGCAGATTAACATTTATCTTGATGAATTAATATTCAAAAAGAAAGTCTAGATCTTAAGCTTTCTTTTGAATATTAATTCGTCAAGATAGCCTTAAAATTCATCGAGATATAAGTTATGAAAATTAAGGGATTAATTTTTTTCTAAAAAATGTCAATCTACTTGATTTCTATTGACGGCTGCCCATATAGTATGTCACGACTTATGACTCTGAAATCTCCGCATTTTACAACAGGTGCTCTGCTTTGCACCAGGTTCTGCAAAAGATTCGAATCCCATCTACGGATCGCGATGAATGACGCAACGAAGCCTGACTTTTATTATTTATTTATTGTTTACTCCGGGCTTAGCCATGATCGTCAATGTATAATACTGTATGATGTAATGAAATTTACTCTGAATCTGGTAAAAATACGTAATACAATAACGACAATTGAAAGCTCAAAGTCCGTCCTTTTTTTTTTTTTTGGCGTCATTTATACGTACGACATTTAAACTTGTTCGCCTTCAAATATGACGTGACTAATTGTTCACTCAAAATCAATTATCAAATAATATATTACAACAATTACAACAAATACGAGAGTGAATAATTTACCTGTTGTTAACGAAACGAAACTCTCCCAAGTGCTGGTCGTCTGATCAGATGCATAGCGCCAATATATGCAATTTCTACATAATTATTGTAAACGTTAATTAAGCTGCTTAATTTTTTCGTCAGATAATCAGCATTTTGAGGGGTCAAACTTCTTTATTCGTTATATTCTAATAACAACTAATAAGTAATTCAAACTATACAGTATTTTCAGCCTTTACTACTATCTTTGATATATTATTAATTAATTAACGACAACATATAAATCTATCTCAAATCTGCTATCATACGTATTTATTTTCAACCATATAATATATATATATATAAAAGTTGTTATCGTATTATACGTACGGGTATATATATTTAACATAATAAATTAAACGGTCCCGAATTGGAATTCTGATTCAGAATCGGGTTACTCGGTTTTAGAATTCTCGCGCAGGTCGTCAAGCTTAATAATTAGTGGTAAGGTTAGGATTAGTATATTAATATATTAATATATTAATACCGTGGGTGAAAAGTCTCTAAGCAGGACCTTTAATCGTTTTAACATTTGTAATTATATAGTAATCATTGCAATATTAAATTTCACCCACCCGGTATATAATCGAGCTGGGTAATCCGATTTTGAATTAGGTTCTGAATGGGTCAGATTCTAATATGGGTACACCATACATAATTATTCTTTAAGTTCAAAACCTTAATTTGAACGAATTAATCGCCTTTTTTAAATCCTATTTTTGGCATTTTAATATATATATTCTAAGTACGTACGTACGTTCCTCAATTTTTGGAACGTTCTTTAGAGAACAAATGAAACGTTACATTTTTAAAAAGTATATTAATTAGTTACCCGGACAATTAATTTGAATGCCTTCCTATAAACATTACATCGTTTTTCACGTTCTCTAAAAAAATAAAGAAAATATAAGGATATAAACTAAATAGTCTACTTTTAGATCTCTGTTTACTTTTAAAGTTCTTTAGAAATAGAATCACGACTTGTGAAATTTATCACACTAGACATTGTACTCGGATGGAGGTTCACCCAAAATACACAATAATTTACCCGTGGTACCTCGGAATATTTTATAGCGATTTTTTCTACGGGTACAACAAAATTATGATTCATAACGATAAATATTGTACGGTATGGCATATCTTTTGATATTTTTTCAGGTAGTTCAGAAAATTGAAGGATTTTACTAATAAAAGTATTTAGTCGGATTTAAGCAATTCCACGGATTTGTGGAATTTGTTAAATTCCCTAAATTTACAAGACAGATTTAAAAATGAGCAATGCCAAGAGAAAACAGATTTCTCTTGGTATTCTTGGCCGACATATTTTGTACTACATAACAGATTCGTAAAAATGCAAATTTAAGTGATTTAAATAATAGTCAAATCCCATAAATCGCAGAATTAAGGATTTGAATGAAAGATTATAAGTGTGTTTATATCCATTTATTTGTGGAAACCACAATACATAAGGCTTAGCTTCTCGTCGTATCTTAATAAGAAAACAAGATTTCTTATAATTATACGTAGTATTTAAATTCATTAATGAATGCATATATATGGCTTTATGATTTTCTGAATGGAGTTTACATGTTAAATTAGGATATGTAAGTTAATACTATAACACCCTTATTTCCCACTATGGAGAAATAAATAGCCAGGTGGATCTCGGGCATATGAGGACCTTCAAATAAACTGAATTCACCTCTCTCCTGTCATTGCAGGAAACAAATAAATACTTCATTATCTTTA